GGCACAAGGAATAGTTGTTAAATGTTCTAAGAAATGTGTCTAATCCCACCTGTTGTGGAGGTGTGGTTTTTTTTTTTAACCCTTCTTCTAATTTACATTCTTTGCTGTCACTTTTAACTGACTCTATAAATCGGGGACCTCATCTCTTTATTCAACACTGTATTGCTCAGTATCTGGTAAGTGGTTGGTGCTCAGTAACTATATGTTAAATTAATGCATAAGTTATTGATTCTGCTTGAAACAGAGAAGTTATGAAGAATAAACTAATTTGAACTGGGATCTGAAGGATAAATGGAATTGTTCCAACAGAAGGAGGAATAGGGAAGAAAGGGAGAAGAAAATACTAAAGGGAAGGATAAATGGGACCATAATGAAACTGACCTGTGAGTCTCCTGAAGCCTGGGTTCTCCACATGATATGACCTCCAGTCTGCTTTTTATGACATGTAACTAGTGATTCATCTGTCAGGCGCTTGGGACATGCTTGTTGAATGAATGAGCATAGCATATGAACTCATCTATAACTTTTTTGAGAGAAAGGTGTTAGGTTAGGTAGAAACTAATCTTACCTCCTGGTAGTGAGGGGTCTTTTAAATATAAACTCAGCAAAAAATATTTTAAAGTATTTTTAAAATAGCTAAATTTTGCATTGTTGAATATAACAAAAGTGAGTTCGATTTATGTATGTCAAATTACTTTTCATCAGAGCACAGTCACTTGCATAGTTTCTTTAAACATTTTTATTGGCATGTAGTTGATTTACAATGTTGTGTTAGTTTCAGGTATATAGCAAAGTGAACTGTACATACACATATACCCACTCTTTTTTGATTCTTTTCCTGTATGGATCCTTACAGCGTATTGAGTAGATTTCCCTGTGCTATACAGTAGGCCCCTGTTTGTTATCTATTTTTTATAGCAGTGTGTATGTGTCAGTGCCAATCTCCCAATTTATCCCTCTCCCCTATCCTCCTGGGTAACCATGCTTTTGTTTTTTTATATCTGTGATTCTGTTTCAGTTTTGTAAACAAGTTTATTTGTACCATTGTGGGGGCTCAGACAGTAAAGAATATGCCTACAATGCAGGAGACCAGGTTCAATCCGTGGGTTGGGAAGATCCCCTGGAGAAGGGAATGGCTACCCACTCCAATATTCTTGCCTGGAGAGTTCCATGGACAGAGGAACCATGGGGTCGCAAAGAGTCTGACACAGCTGATGAGATTCCACATATAAGCAATATCATATGACATTTGTCTTCCTTATGTTGCCTTCTAACATATCATATGCCTAGTGGGAGATTGCTAACCCTTAGGGTTAGCCCCGAACCCTTAGACCAAGTCTTACACAGGGAAGACTAGTCTTTAGGTCAAGGGGAAAGAAGAGTGAGCCGTGCATCTTTCATAGGATGATGCAAATCAATAGCAAGGAAGCAGAATTGTTATGGGTATAAACACATTTTTTTCCTGAAAGACTAAACAATACAGAATTTACAGTTATAATGCTTTTACAACCACTATTCACATTTCTTTTTTCTATGAGTTTATGAACCAGTTACTTAAATGTCAAGGAAAAAAAATAAGCCTTTTGTATCTTAATCTGTAAAAAATAATCAATATCAGATAAATAGGGCACTTGTTGCATATTGATAAGTATGTGATTTCTTATGCTTTCCATCTGTATGGAGGAAAAAGTCCCCAGTAATCTTATCTTCCATTAGATCTAGCCGTAGAATGCTATTAAACATCTGTACAAAATTAACCTTTTCCTCATAGCCCGGTTCTGTATGAAAGTACCAACAAATTGTGAAGATCGTTTGCAAATGGTGATCCATAAAAATGTAGATTCAGCTATGGATTGTAATTCATCTGCCTCATGTATAACAACTGTACAAAAATAATGTCAAATTAAAGGCAGTATTTGAGACAAGGAGAAGCCCATTCTCCCTGATCTTGCACCCTGTTAACAAGGAAAAGAAACGTCTGATGCTTCATCTATAAAAGACCCCTGGGTGGCCTTAACCTCCCCGCGCTTCAGTAGATACAGTCTTCCATAGGTTCTTTGATATCTTCAGTTCTTCAGGCTGATTGTTGTCAGCTCTGGAAGCTTTGTGCCTTTCAATTAGTCTTTCTTACTTATGTCCTGCATTTTGGTAGCTCTGGGATTTTTCTGACTGGAGCCTGGGGGTTCATATTGGAATATTTTATAGTTTCCCTCACTGCCATACTAGACAGTGGAACTGATTTTTTCACCATTCAGTATATTCCTGTGGTAACCCACCCCACCCCCCCCCCCCTCACACACACACATACACACACCAGCTTTCTTCTTATCTCTTATCACACTTCCAAGAAAGCTACCATTTTATAGCAGCTCTTGCAACAAATAAGACCATAGTCTGGTTTCCAAAAAAGAACGTTTTTGACAACTCCTGAGTGTGACTGACGAGTGGTGATTCCTGGGGTTTTCTCCTTGCAGGACATGTAGCTCTTGGATTTGAACTGCTGTTTACCTTTGCTCAAACTGTTTATTTGGGCTTCCCAGGTGGCACTGCTGAGAGGAACCCACTTGCCTGTGCAGGAGGCATAAGAGACACAGGGTTCAATCTCTGAGTCGGGAAGAGATTGCACTCCATTATTCTTGCCTGTAAAATCCCATGGACAGAGGAGCCGGGTGGGCTACAGTCCATAGGGTTGCAAAGCGTTGGATACGACTGAAGTGACTTAGCATGCAGGCATGCACACTGTATATTTAAAAAATGGCTTATGTATTTTCTTCTGGCTCAGAGTTACTATTTACAGCCACACATTTCATGGCAGTGATTGCCATGCAACATCAAAAGCACCAGGCAGTAGTATGTCCTGCTAGTACTTCTTTAAGGCTTAGTTATTTCCTTCAGGTTATCCCACGGATAAGCCGATCAGCCCCGTCGTTAGCGCTGGCCTGCATCATTTCCCTGCACGCTGGCGAAGGTGAGTTTGGAGGCTGGACAGCACGTGGCCACAGGTCATCTACTCCAGGGTTTCTTCGGGCACTTTGTCCTTGTTTTCCTCCTGGCTTCACTGCCTCACCCTGCTGCTGAGGCCAGCAGCTTGCCCAGGTTGACGGTTCCCCAGAGACCGATAGCTCAGGTTCCCACCCTCCTCCCAGGGAGAAGAGGAAAGGGCGGCTCAGAAGCCCACAAGGATGTGTCGATCAGGGGAGCATCCTGTGTCGATCCTGAGCTCCAGCTGGAGACGCAGGTCCTGCTCTCAGAGGGGCAGGTGGATGCCCGTGGGAGCAGAGTGTGTGTCTCCACCTTGGATCTCACCCTGTGCCCACATTCGGCGTTCCTTTCCCTCCAGAAAGACATGATTCTGGCCAGGGAGACGATGGTTCTTGCAGCTTGGTGCCCTCATCTTTTCTTTTTTTTAAGTAGCTTTATTGTGATATAGTTCACATATCATACAGTTCATCCATTCAATGTGTACAACTCATTGGCTTTTAGTGTATCGTGGATATACTCTCCATCCGTGATATGGCAACTCTCATCACCGTAATTTTTAGAACATTTTCATCACCTCAAAAATGAGCCCTGAGGACTTCTCTGGTGGTCCAGTGGCTGAGGCTCCGAGCTCCCAATGCAAGAGGCCCAGGTCAGGGAACTAGATCCCACGTGCTGAAATTAAGAGTTGGCATGCTGCAACTACAGATCCCACCTGCCGCATCTAAGACCTGGTGCAGCGAAATAGACGGAAACCCTACTGTTTAGCTACCACCCCCCATAACCTCATTTCCCAGCCACTCAGGGCTCAGGAACCAGGGCTCACCTTTCTGTCTCGATTTCTGTTTTTGGTTTCCTCTTCTGGAGTTTCATAGGAATGGAATCACACATGGAATATGTGGTCTTTTGTGGCTCACTGAGCATGATTTCAACATTCATATTGCAGTGTGAATCTTCGTTTTTTTTAATGGCTGAATAATATTCTCCTGTATGACGTACTAGGTTTTATTTATCCATTTGTCCATCAGTGGACATTTGGGTTGTCCAACATTTGGGCTGTTGTGAATTATGCTACTGTGAACATTTGGGTGCAAGTTGCTGTGTAGACATCTGTTTTCATTTCTCTTGGGTGTATACCCAAGAGTGGAATGCCGTGTCATATGGTAACTGTGGGCTTCCTAGGCAGTGCTAGTGGTAAAGATCCCCCCTGCCAATCCAGGAGATGTAAGAGACGTGGGTTCCATCCCTGGGTGGGGAAGATCCCCTAGAGGACAGCATGGCAACCCACTCCAGTAATCTTGCCTGGAGGATCCATGGAGAGAAGAGCCTGGTGGGCTACAGTCCATAGGGTCGTGAAGAGTTGGACATGACTNATCTTGCCTGGAGGATCCATGGAGAGAAGAGCCTGGTGGGCTACAGTCCATAGGGTCGTGAAGAGTTGGACGTGACTGATGCGATTTAGCATGCATGCATCGTAACTGTATGTTTAATTATTTAAAGAACTGCCAAATATTTTCTAAAGTGGCTGCATCATTTTACTTTCCTGCCAACACACAGCGTATGATGGTTCCAATTTCTCCATATTTTTGCCACCCTTGTTGATCTGACTTTACACTTCTCTCCATCCTAGTGGGTGTGAATTCATGTGAGGTTTTGAAAGCACTGGGGAAGGATTTTTTTTCCTTTCTAATAGTTTTTAGTGCCATGTATGTGTGTATGCACACACATAAACACACACATTGATGACTTCAAAGTGTGCCTTTTGCTAGTGTCTGTAAAAGCGCAGCTGCTAAGAGGTCCTGTTGCCTGTCACAATAATAAAGCAGATTTCAATATTTGTTAATCCAAAAATCTCACTGCCCAGAACCGTCGTGGGAGGCAGTGAAACGTGCGCGTTGAGAGGAGGAGGGGAGTGAGTGGTGGGAGAGGCGGGGGCAGGTGGTGTGTTTCCTGGGACGAGCATCCTTCCCAGGAGACGGCTCCACTTGTCTCCGTGTCTGACGGGCCCCTCTGTCTTTCAGGAGGACTGGCGCTGGCCCAGGTGCTCTTCTTCTACGTGAAGTACTTGGTGCTCTTCGGGGTCCCGGCTCTGCTCATGCGCCTGGATGGACTCACGCCGCCGCCCCTCCCTCGCTGCGTGAGCACCATGTTCAGCTTCACGGGGATGTGGAGGTCAGTGCCTCTGTTTGCTGAGGTCCCCTGGGGATGTCCGGTGGGAGGAGCCGGGGCTTGGCCAGCCTCAAAGCTCCTGAGCAACCATCCTGTCTCTGCCCTTCACTCAAGTCGCCTTTGGCACTTAGGTGTTTTAATCTAACAGGTTGACAGTCCATATTTTCTGAGCCTCTCAAATGTATTGTCAGGCTAAAAATTGGGAGATAAACTTTCTCACCCAGTCTGTGTAAAGATGCACAAAGGGCTGTGTCTAAAGTGGTTTCTTACTAACTTGGGACATAATATATATATTGATGATTTTACTGCTGTCTGTTTTTCTTGAAAATGACATCTTTGTATGTGGGACTGTAGATTAAAAAAATAGACTTAATTTTATTTATTTAATACCAAAAACATAAAAAAAAAATATAGATTTAGTTAATAGTACAGGGCAGGCCTTTACTAGCTCTCGGATCCAGAGCAACATACTTCAAATGTGAGTTTCAGTTTTTTTGTCTTTTATATGGTAATAAAAATTATAATGGTACTGATAATACTTATCTCTAAAAGTCGTTTTGAAGATTAAAAAAGCCAACACATATAAAGCATCTGGCACACAGTAGGTGTCTACAAACGTTAGCTCTTATCCTCCTATAACTCCTGTACTCACCCACTTTGGATAGGCGGGTGCTTTTTCTGAGTGTTCTTAGTCTTCTTGATTTAGCCCCATGGATGTACAGTCAGCCTGGAGTCTCTGTTCTAAAAGATCCCTCGGCCCCCCGCCGTTTCTGGCTGTTGCTCTCCAGATGGGCTCGCTTGCCGCTGGGTTTTATTATCGCTTCCAGTGTGGAACCCGTGGCAGGCTGGCGCTTGCAACTGCAAGCCTAATGTAAGAACCTGAGGGCGGGAACTCGCACATCTGTGGGAGGCAGCATCTACTTAAATTGTGCTCTTTAGAAGCCTCCATTTGCACCCGCCTTCCCCTCACCCTGGTCCTGCTCAGAAAATCCGTTCTGGCTCATCCAGTCTTACATTTCATCCCTGAGTTCAGTGAGTATTGTTCTCTCCAATGTTGGTCTTGCTAAAGGGGTAGCTAACAGGCAGTATCCTAGTTTTCCATAATAATTTATTACAGGGACTGAATTGATCTAAGCCTCCCTGAATGCAGTTTATTTTTGCTGCTGTCTGCTTCTTTGGATTGGAAATACCATCTGGTTATTGTAAAGAATGTAAGTAATTGCTCTGATTTGTCTTTAATTACTTCATCGAGTATCATAGGTTGCCGAGCTGCAATGGCAAATTTAGGAAAAGGGCTCTCTCTAGCCAGGAGGCCAGGAAGTGGTTTTGTTTGGAAGGTGAGCCTAATGGGAAGGCTTTATTCATTTTGACCTGTTCATAAAAGTAATTTACTGAATAAATGGGTGGGACTTAAGCATGACCTGGGGGTATGTCATGAGTCCCTCGTGGGCACCCAGCAAGGTTCCTCGGCCTCCTTGATGTGAATGCTTGTGCTCAAGCATTTCTTGGGAAGCACGTTCTCCTCAAGAGCTTCTCCACTGTTGGTTGGGATAATAAATAATCTTGACTCTTGGCAGCCATGCTGGCTCTAGGCTAATTAATTATTTTTTGTCCAAGATCCTCTGTTGTGTACAAACTACTGAGGCACAGAAAACATGTCTGCCAAGACCTTTGTCATTCTTATTAGAAACTGGGCTTGAATAGTGTGGATGGACCCTGAGTTGTTGAAACCTTCTCTTCTCCATCTCAGTTACTGTGGGCAGGAGAGTAATCGTGAAGTTTCTCTTGAGTGACTCATTGGAGTGATGTGCTTCTGAAGCGAGCTGTATACAAGGGCATGTGATGAAATGGCAAACACGGTCCTTCCTGGGAGTGACCTCAACGTGTGTCCTGGCTTCTTTCAGCTTGCATGGGTGTGGATATCCCCCATCACATGTGCTTTAGCTTCTTAAGGGTTTTCTGATTTGCCACTTGTATTTAGAGACACTCAGGGCTTCACTCTTGGTATACAGTAACTATTCCACATCAAGTTGCTGAATTTAGGAAGGGAGATGAACTCTTTCTGAGGAATTTGGTGCACAGTTAAGGCTCAGAAGAAGCAGTTTTTAGCTGAGAAAAGAAGGAATAAAACTTATAGATTCTCCTTTGTACTCTTTCCTCCACCCTTAGTTTACTGTGTTCATAGTCAGGATCTGGTCGCATAACCAACAGTGGCCCTGGCCCCCATCTTCTCTGACTTTTCTCTGTAAGAAGACACGTCAAGGGAAAGTAAAATTTTGAATTTTTAGTTTCTATTTACATCTAAAGGCCTTACAAATAGCTGTGAAACGAAGAGAAGCGAAAAGCAAAGGAGAAAAGGAAAGATATTCCCATTTGAAAGCAGAGTTCCAAAGAAGAGCCAGGAGAGATAAGAAAGCCTTCCTCCAATGAGGTATCATTACACGCCAGTCAGGATGGCTGCTATCCAAAAGTCTACAAGCAATAAATGCTGGAGAGGGTATGGAGAAAAGGGAACCCTCTTACACTGTTGGTGGGAATGCAAATTAGTACAGCCACTATGGAAAACAGTGTGGAGATT